TTTCAGTTTGAACTTTCAAATTAAGGCGACATTGGATTACCGATGTACAAATCTCGCAAATCGATAAGGAAGAAAAACATCAACGAAACAAACAAAAACTGAGTGTATTGCATAAATCCAAAAGGAGCGAGACTAGTAATGTCAACAGGGTAAGTGCTTCTTGCTAAGCATGTATCACCCGACAAGTGAATTCACACTCAGTCTAAATGTCATAATGGGAAACAGGACACAATCTGTTAAATTACAGATCAAACGATTTTACATGTATCCAAAGATCTTAGACCACGAAAACATGACGCTACTGAGTTGAAACACCCACAAAGTCTAAAACAATCTTTCACTTATGGATGTAAGTTTGGAAAAATATCTTATTTAACGAATACATAGACCCACGAAGTTAGTAGTCTTTTCTTGATGTTTTCATATCTAACGTTTTCTTCGACCTGATCTCATTTGACCTCGCATTATTATTGGAATTACCTCACACTTACCCTGACATTATAAGTCTTATCGAGGTTTTATATTATCATTTTCATTGGAACGCACGAAATAAAAAAATAAAGGGTTTTTGCATTTAATGGACAAATACTGATCTTTGAACTTTTTTAAGTTGTTATTTTTCATATACATGTACAACATGAGCATTCATGCATTCAGAATAATCCGTTTTGAAGAAATATTTCACGGATTATTCTATAGTCTGACTGACGTATTTTGCATTCCCATCCCGATGTGTATTTATAGGTCCAGTACAGCATAACCGACGCAATTCTTGAACATGAGATATTCTTACGAATGGATTCTTATACATCTTTAGATTTCAAAGATTCGCTCTGACCGTTCCTAATGAAGGCAAATCCAGAAAAGCGCTTCGGACGCATGAAATTGGTGAAAAGTGTTGTTTTCAGTATTTAAATCACTGGGTCGGTACCGCTGGTGATGGAATATCAGTCCTCGAATATATCATCAGATCGGTAGTCAGTACTTCGGTACTGCCTTGATTCATAACAAACCTTGCTGAAATTGCATGTTTATAAGTTTTAAAATTATAAAAAAAAACATGTTTCCGATCCCTCAGGCAAAGTTTACGGGCTCTTTTTTGGTCATATAGCTCTTTTACTGTATCGGTTTTTATACATCTTTGGTTTTCAAATATTCGGATTTGAGCGTTCCAAATGAAGGCTTATTCAGAAAAGCGCTTCGAACGCATGGAATTTTTAAACTGTTGATTAATTTCTTTTGAGATTTCAATATTTCTGTATCAAAAGTTGGAGTGAGGGTGTTATTCGTTTTATTCTTCTTTCTTTGTAACAATAATATGTAAAATCACTGTAAGACATATAATTACCGAAAACGAATAGAGATTGCAATCTGTCAATCGACTTTTGAACATGACTGTAAAATATGCATTTTAGTGGGAGTTAACATATAACTTGATAAGGAAATAACTTGATCCAATATTGCAAACAAGATGAACGAAAAAGAAGAAAAAATTAAATCCTTCTTGATAAAAAACGAATTACCTGTTACCTGTTACCTTCTGTAATTCCCTCCTCTATCAGGAGAACCTGGAGTTCATCCAGTTAAATTTTTCTATATATTTACAGCATGAAGAGGTCAATGATTTGGTGGAAAGTTGTTTCATAGTCAGTCAAACCGAATCTCCATGTTCTCATATTCTATGTTTTAAAAGTTTATAATGTATTATAAAATTATTTTCAAGAAAGCAATATTTTTAAGAGATAACTCCCGTGTCTATAGATGCTAATTATGCCTTTTGGAAACTATTTGCGTTCATATATCATCAACAATATCATTAACGGTACCGCTTTTATTGCACCAAATTCGCTTTTGTCGACAATTAATATCTTTTAAGTGATTCTCGCGGCATATATAAAATAATACATTAAAAGGATTACAGAAATGACTAAAAATAAAAGACAGTACACGCGAGACCACATCAAACATCAACAACAATTCTAGATAATGATCGTAATCACAACATATTTTTAACATGCACAAGTGTATACAACCATTTTACATAACAGGCATTCGAACAAGAGACGTTACTTATTAGTTCAAGTATTCTGAATGTATGTGTTGCACTCGTCAGAAATACAAATCATATGTAAAAGTCGATTACACAATTTCTAACATTGAGTTATATCCCTTTTGTCGGTATATTTGGTGATTCCTGTTATCAGTTTTAAACACTTAAAATGTACTCAAATGAAGAATAAGTTCAATCTCCTTTTAGTAATATAAAAGAAGAAAACGATATCAATGGAAGCTATAAGTCCATTATAAACAGTCAACACCATTACCAATCTGAAATTAAATGATGAAAAGAAAAGAAAAGAAAAACAACATTGACAACTCAAGTAAGTGCTTAGGACTCAGGACAGGTCAAAAGTTCCTATTCCCGTAATAACACATGACGTGTTACTCTTGTTAACATACATTGATCGAGTTGTATCCAGTGTTAAGGCATATTTCCAAAAGCGCCTTAATAAATGTCTAGTGTCCTGCCTTATACACATTTCCATGTCATCTCAAATAGTACATAGCTCGGAATTTGAAAACAAAAGATTCCGTCTCTTGCTTATATTCACGCATTTATGTTTTACGGTAATGAAATTGTTGCACTACTCCATGTTTAAATGAAAGATAAGAGATATTTTCTTTGTACTTTATACTATACATTATCATAAACAGAATGAACAATCTCTTACTGAAAACAGTGTTATCTAAAAACAAAAACTAAAAAGGATAATGTCAGAAATGAATATTGGAGATTGTTGGCCAACATAATTATTTCATTCACTTTTTCCTGTAACCGTTTCCACGGTGACTGAAATATTTTCTTCGGAATTTTTACACGAATATTGAAAGCTATTAAGGCACATAACACTTAATCACGTTATTTCAGTTGTTGTTATTATTACATTTAAAAAAACACCTGTTCAAACTCCCAATCAGACAATATAAACTGTGCCACTTATCAATCTTAAAAATCATCCCACGACGAGTCCTACTGTTGGACGTAAAGTATATGAGGAATTTTTATTCTGGTACAAAATGGTCTTATTCAATAACTTTTTAATATTTTATAATAGCCAGACCTCAAATATTGGTAAAATTAACATAGAAATCATATAGGTATATAAGAAAAATATTTCTGTAATCAAAATTGAAATATGAGAGCTTATATATATAGAGTTGTTGGATTCAAATCCACGTATGCACGCGTCGCATGCACCTGTTAGAAACATGTTTCACTTTCTGTCAGGAAGACCTTTTCGAGATCATCGTCTTTTGTTGTTATAATTCACAACTTCATATAGGAAGATATTGTTACAGGCGGGCGAGTAGGGGTCGTGTGTACTTTTAATTCAGTATAGATTATCGATAGTGTTTCTCTAGATAGTCTTGTTTTAAGTGTAGTTGGTTGACTCCAGCATGATCATATATAAATGAATCCAGCGTAAAAGAATGACTTTTATTCTTGTCCAGTATGTATTTATCTCAATAAATAACTCATATAACAGCAATAACATAGTTAGTATAAATTAGAATAGTAAGATGCTGGCCTTCCGAACCCCAAATGTAACTTAATATATATATCTGCAAGACTTTATCCTGTCAATCATTCTGTTCAATAATGAGAAAATGAAATATACTTATTTCATTAAATTACGAAATTATAGAAAGTTGTCAACGTGGTGGGATATCGTATCTATACATCTTTAATAACTGTTATAATTTGTCAAAAACTACTATTGGAATTTGTAAACATTGAACTGGTTCCGCATCTTGTCTAATATGAAGCCACTTCCTGTTGAAGACCTGCGTAAGCGGGAATATTTGAAAACGGTATTTGGTTCCTGGAAGTCTTTGAGTAAGATTTTGGTTTAATATTCCGAAGGATGTAAAAAGATTAATAATTGCTTAATATAGAACTTGAAATGCTATCGCATAGCTTAAGGTAAAATAGCTTTATATCGAAATGCATCCTGTACCTAGATAGCTTTGTTAACTTGAAGGTTTGTTTGGTTTTACGTTCTGCTCAGCTTGACAGCCAGATACGATATGCGGAAGTGCTAGTGCGACGCTGTATTTATACGTGACGGTGAAATACATGCGCGACTCACAGAACTGAAAAGCTACTATAACTTTGAAATGCTAACGAAAACTCTGGCTCATGACACAAAATGGCGTTATAAATCCATAAAACTGCGAAAGTTTGCCCTTATTTCAAAAAGACAGTGACATATTAAATATAAACCTTAAAATTCCATACTCGTAGCCTTATCACCTACGTTTCTATCTGACGTCATTGAAATCAGAAAGTAGTTCCTTAACGGCGCTTCACAAAAACGTATTTAACGTAATTACATCATATTATTCAGCACCCTAAACAATAAAAGGAAGGCCAGTAAGTAATTCGATTATATCTTAATAATACTTTTATGTATTATTGTAACTTTATAAAGAAGAACCGTTACCCGGAAGTGACCATTCATTGGAATGGTAACTTCTAGTACGTAAACAAGCACTCGCCACGATGGAATTTAAAGGGAAAACTACCCCAACGATGTGTCAAATTACACTGAGACTGAAGGAATAGGTAACAACAAACATGTTTTATAAACCCCTTACCCCCTGAAAGTGTGAAATTAATGTAGACAGAGAAAATCGTGATCGAAGTGCCTGTTCACTGACAGTTGAATTTTACCGCCATGCTTACTTGATAATTTGATAGACGTTATGTTAAGTGTTATGATATCTGATAAAATTGGTACAAGTTATGAAAATATGCAATTTGATCTCCCCAAATTGAGTTTGCCAAAGTTATCTTAGTGTATAAAAATCATCTAAGACCGTTATTTTTCAGGTTTTTAGATATTGATCCAAATAAAATTTTGAAATATAAAATGTGTTTTTTTGTGATAATTATCAATACCCATTTATAACAATATTCTATTGGCTTACGTAATCAATATCAGAACAGAAAGTACAATAAGACGTTTTCACAACGTGACAACAGGATAGGGGTTTCGTTCAGATTTGGTAATTAATGATAAAAAGGTAAGACATAAAATGGAATATTCAATTCACTTTATGTTAGAGAATAAGACTTTTAAAATTTTGACAGCTGGAAATATTTTTTATTGACTCTTTGTTGTGTAAATACAGATACACACACGACCTACTTAAAACTAGATTATTTTTAAATACACATCAACGTTATCACATTTAATTTCATCAGAAATATTTATTGTACATTACCGTCAAGATCAAAATTGAATTGATGATTTGATTACAAACAATATTATCTTGATGACGTAAAAAGCAATAAATAAATGAAATGAAAATGTTGCACATTATATAAGTATATAAGTTGAGGGCCGTGCTTTGACCTGTGGTGGTTTAATTTTATAGATAGTGGCTTGGGTGGGGGTTGTCTAGTTGGCGCTCATACCCCATCTTCTTATATGTATATAGTTCAGATGATTGTCAAATTACATGAAAATTCCAGGTGTTTTGAATACGTTTAAGAAATTGTTAATGTTGACTATCTGCATTTATTTCCATTTGAAAAACTCATACAAATTTCATCTATTCATTTAAACATTGAATTTGACAACAATAGGCAAAAATGAACCCCCAAAAAAATTGTTGTCTGTAAGAACAATAGTTTTGAAGTTCTATGAAAATTCAAGCTGATTTGAAAGCAGTTTAAGAAATTTTAAAGTTGACCTTCTGAATTCAATCACAAATGAAAAGTCTAATTTGTTAGCATATTTTATAAGGGTCGTTACATTAAAAAAAAATGAAAATAAACCTAATATTTGGAATGTGTAAAAAAAGTAGATATTGGAGATAGCTATGAAGTGTGATGAAAATACCATACAATTTAAATGCACATATAAGTGTTATTGATGTGAATAGGGAATTTTAAAACTTGTTGAATACATTGTGTAAAAAAGGTGATGAAACAAGATAGAATTTCAAACTAGAATTATTTCCTTTTGTTTGATTTTAAGATATGATATGTATTTCAAAGGACTTTTGTAATTTTGTTAAAATCGTGCCTGCAGTGGTGTTTTATTAGGTGTGTCTAGGAACAAAGCCAATATTGTCTGTGCAGCACAAGAGCTTTAACTACCGGATTTTGTTTTGTTCAGTGGTCAGAACACAGAATTTACATAGATATATTCTATAATTTCATTACTAACATGGAAAACAGAATTAAAGATTCTCTAATGATGATCAGCATGATCAGAAAATAATTTCAAGTCTGATTTACTTTGTTCCATCATTTATTCTGAATGAAAACCACAGTATATAGCTTTTACATCTCGTATATATTGTTTGTTATTCATTCTAATGTTTGTTCAAAATAATAAAACAGAGCGATATAAGTACCATGCATCAAGAAAGATGAAGCAACAAATTGCATTAAAAATTGTAATACAATCTAAATGCAACATATTTACATGCAGGTCTTAATGTGTATTATTGATGATTTTCTTGTAATTTGATGACCATTAATTGTTAAAAAATTTATAATTTGGTTGTGAATACAATCAGAATAATTTTTACATTTAATTGATTTGAAGTATGCACATTTTAAGGTATGATGTAAATTATTTTTCTGATTATTAACTAGAGGGGCAAAAACTATTTTATAATAAATATGAGCGGGGCAAAACGATTTAAAAAAAAAAGTAATTGCTGTACAACGGCCCAACCCCCAGATAAATAGTGCACAGTCTGTTACCACGTTCAGGTAACCTATGTTGAATTTTGACAGCGTGTAAAACTTAAATTAGTGAAATTTTGTAATGACCAAAATTGGATAGATATTCTGAATAAGTTACACATTAAATTAGGTATTTTTATTACGTGAAACATGTTTTGATGTCTTCATTTTCCCAGTGCATTTAGATACAATTTTGGTGCGTGATAAATCTTTTTTTTTGTTTTTTGCTCCAGATGGGTAACGAAACGTCCAAAGATTCACCAAGAGAATTTGAATCCATTCCAGATTTATACACATTTCTCCTAAGAGAAACCTTCCATATCAACTGTCAATTAAGTGAAGAATTTTTGAGGCGATATAATGTTGGTGTGTTCATGTCTATACATACATTAGCAACTTCATTATTTGAGCGAAATTTTAGTGTATCAGAAATTCAACAAATGAATACAAGTTTTGAAAAAATCGTGATGCTCCATAGGAAGAGGGTATTTCAGTTTACTCATGAAAAATGCAAGGGACGTTATCAGAAATTTCCAGAAGATAAAATAAAAAAGGCACATATAAAAAACCACAAAATGCACAGGATTCCAGTCGATATATCAGAATTTGCAAGCGATTTTGGAACAGAAGAACGCAAATTTAATGTTTTTCTATATGGGAAAATGGAACACATAGAAAATGAATTAAAGATACAAATTGAAAATTCAATGAAAAATCTACTTCCGGAGGTTATTTATAAAAGGAAAGTATGTAGTGAAGCTTTTTGTATTGATGGTGGAAAGGGAAAGGTTATGCGCTACAAGGTATGTCCCGTGGAAGCAAACTTTTTCCCAGGAAATCCCTATATCGTTAAACCTGTCGAACAAGATTCGCTGCAGTTTAAGGAATCACAATACTATGTTTGGATAGAAAATGGAAAGCTTAATTTGAGCAAAACACGTTTAACAGACTTGAAAACGGTACATACTTTCGTTGTCCCTACCCTGGAACTTAATGGAAGCGTGCTAGTAGAACTCGAAGGTACCATTGAGTTTGCATGTACTAAGGAAGCAAAGATGTCAACAAAGGAAGATGGTAGAGGAGCAAAAATTTTCTTTTGGCCCATAAATAAGATCATACAATCGAAAGAAAGCAAAATATTCAAGACAAGTGTTAAAGTTGAAATTGAAATGTCTACAGTTTTGTTAAAGCCTAAAACAAACAAAACAATTTCAATGACTGACAGCGAAGTTGACAGTTTCAACAAATTGATTCAAGAAGTACAATCTCTTCAGGTCAGCCAATCAATGTTCACAAATAATGAGGAAGAATATGAATGTTCTAGTTCTTCTACTTTCAACAACAACTCGACTGCTACAGACGAACATAGCGAGAGTGACAATAACAGACATAATGATAGCACAAATCAAAATGATTCAGATTTAGACCAACACGTACAGTCAGATTTTCCGGAAGACCTTCCTGAAATAGGTAAGGAGTTTTTTCTTAAATTTAACTCAAAACTGGTCACAAGCGTAGCTACAAAAGTATGGGATGATGTTGGAGAAGTAATTGCTGTTACGGCATCACAAACAGCCGGTAAAGTTTTACAACGCGTGCTTATTCCAGTGGGTATTGCTTGGTGGTCCTTCAATATTTGGCACTTCGTGAAAGACTATCGTGAAAACAAAATTACTCTGCGAGAGTTAATCAGAAGAATTGGCAGATACGCAATTACAGACATTGGTACAGCTGGATTAGCTTGTCTTATTTCAACACTGGTTGCGGGTCCGGCTGGATTTGCGGTCGGTATTGGATTGGCAGTTCTTTTGTCACCTTTAGACTACTTTTTAGGGGATAGAATTTCAAAATTTCTGTTGCGAAGAAGTCCAGAAGAAGAAGAGGCATGGCGTATAGAACAACTCAGAAAGAGAAAACAATGTCTCTTGAGAAAAGCATATAAAATACTTCAGATTGAAGAACATGCATCAAATTGGGAAATAGATAGAGCATATCGGGATGCTGCGAGAATATATCACCCACACGATAAAGCACAAGATATCGGCAACAGATTCGATGTCATAAATAAGGCTTATACTCTTATTAAGCAAGAAAGATCACAGGATGATGAGACATATGGAGTGAATAACAACACAATTACACCAATTCAAGCTATCACAGAAGGATGAACATTGAAAGGATGAAATGAATTGCTTTAAACTTTATCTCTCATTCACGTTCTGGCCAACATAAGTTTTACGGTGTTCTTATAAGTTATAACGTTTCAATTGATGACTTTTATGGACAGAAAATAATGTTCGATAGTGCGTAGATTTTGTGATATTGATGATTTTTGTCGAGCCTGCGACTTTTGTCGAAAAGCGAGACATTACGATCCCACATTCCGTCGTCGTCGTCGTTAATTGGATTTCTACCAAACTTGGACAGAAGCTTGTTTATGATCATAAGATAGTATCCAGAAGTAAATTTTGTAAAAACAAAAATCCTGTTTATCTGTATTTTACTTATAAATGGACTTAGTTTTTCTTCCAGCATAACTTTTTTCATACATTTCAAACGTTTTATTTCATTAACTGTAAATATATTATGTGCATTACCCTATCACACTGAAAACATAGACAACAGCGAATGCAGGAGAGGCACTGGGTTCGTTTTTTTCAAAAGGATCAAATGTTCTTCCGTTATTTGAAAATCAGCAGATGAGTTAAATTTAGACAATATTTGTTAGCTACTTTCGACTTGGTTCGATAAACATCGCAAAAACGTGAGAAAATGAAAAGACAATTTTGTATGAAACACACAAGCTTTTCACTTTTCGAAAATATGCGTAAAGTAAGTTCATCTCCGAACAATATCTTGTGAAAAAAGAAAGAAAGTTTTATAATGCAACTAAAGGCACCTCTTATCTATGAAATGTTTTGTTCCTTTTTCGTTACCTTTTATCTCATTCATAAACCGATAAGATGGACATACCCATTTTTCGTACTAGAACATAAAACTGTTTATTTACATTGTATTCTATTTACATGTAATACACAGGCAGATTTTTATTTCTTCAGAATTTTTGTACGCATTGTTTTTTTTTTAAATAAGGAAATGAATGCCATTTGAGAGTAATTGTAATTGAAGCTTTTTGAAAGCAGTTAATTTATTCACATTGCATCATAACGACCCCTACTTGAAAGCTCTATTTAGAAAGACATATGTTTCGTCTAACTAATAATCACCATTTTATATATATGTGTGCATTTGCTTTACTTCAAATCATTGCCAGATTAGTTTCTAGTGCGCTTTTTGGAATGTTTAAATACAAAACTTTATCAAAATATTTCGGACAATTTTCAGAAATGGATGGATAAAAGCCGCTTATAACGTTAGAATAAAATGATTTTGAACCTCCAGATTCATCAGTATGTAAGAAAAATAAGAATATTCATATCTGATAAATCGATTGAGAAGACAACTCAAGGTTACAAACAAATCGGAAGGAATCGCATGAACTCCACAAAAAACGAAATCTGGTGTGTTGACCGGGAAAATGTCTTCTGCTATGTATGAATCATCACCCGTTAGGTTTTCCATACTCAGTCAAAATGAAACAGTCTTATATAGGACACAATCGGTTAAAGAACAAGTTTGATGACTTTTTTGGTATTTAAATAGATTTGATTGCAAAACCGTGTCAGTTTTATTTTTTGTAATTTTTTGGCACGAAATGATAGTATGGTCTAGTGAATTAAACAGATGATCGTAGAACCAGAGTGCCATTTCGTTGAAAGATCTTACAAAAATTTTGTTTTTAATGACCAACTGATAATAATTTGAGTAAACTAGTGAATTTCGATTTCTAATGAGGAAATATAAGATATTTAATATTAAATATTTCTAAGGCTTTACAATTTATATAAAACAAAATTCAACTATATCAATACTGCTATCTGACAGACTAATTTCCTATTGGCATGATTTTATTTGATAGACTTGTAGTAATTTTAGATTTAGAAATTCAAGGATAAAAAGTGGTTTTATCATATTAGTTTGTTAGTTAAGAAATGCATTTCTTCTGTTATTTGAATAAATGTCATTTACATTTTAAGCATCCATCTTTTTTGTAACAGGAAGTAATAAAAAATTCTTTTCATAAACAAATGCTACATCCCCAGTTAATTAAGACCTCGATAAATATAAAGCTTGAAATATACAGCAAGAGGACTCTTTATACGAGGGGTGCCACATGTGGAGCAAGATCTGCTTACCCTTCCGGAGCATCTGAGATGATATAGGATTAAATAAACGGGTATAGCAATACACATTGCAAAATTCCTGGCTTGGACGGTTACTACTGTATGTGACTTTGGAAGCATGTGGAAGTGTAAAATGTTAAGTTGGAAGGAGAAATGTTAACTTTGAACTGCAAATTGTAAACTGTGAACGGAGAAATGTGAGAAGGTGCTTACCCTCTCGAATCACTGGATATGACCGCGTTTTGAGTATGAAATGCATTCGTATTATTATCACTCAAATTTTGTTGGTTTTATATCTGGACTTCAGATATTAAATGAACATCGTCATACTACCTTCTGATTGTTATAAACAAAATTTGCTCTTATGTATTATGCCGTCATATGCTTGACTGCATCTGTCAAAATGTATTGACAAATTGACAATAAACACTATTTTGAAGTGTTACGTTTTGAAAATTTAAATATTAGGGAATACATTTGATGGATCAAGGTTAAAAGTACAAACAAAAATGACAAGTGTAAAACCATTCAGAAAGGAAAACCAACTGTCTAATCTATATGATAAACGAGAAACGAGAAACACTTATGAACCACACCAACAAACGACAACCACAGAACATCAGATTCCTGACTTAGATAAAGGCAACAGTAGTTTACCGCTGTTCGAAATTCATAAATCGATTGAGAAAAAACAAATCCGGTTTACAAACTAAAACTTAGGACAGGTGCTAACAAATGCAGCGGGGTTAAACGTTTTAATGGGCGCCAACCTTCACCCTACCTGAATAGGTATACATCACAACATAGAAAAACACACTATAAAATATCAATTGAAATGGCTTAATTCAATCAAAAGACATATTAACAAAAACAAGTGAACATACACTGAACGAATAAATTTGATCTATGACACAATGTAAATACAAAATTAATAAAACAAGGGGGTTAGATAGAAAACATATAAAGGTAACATATAAAGTTAAAGGAAACCAGGCTTACTCGGTATATGTCATAGTAAGAACTTAAATAAAATTAAATATGTGAGGATCGGCTGTTACTTCGACAGTTTCACAATAATGACATCTTTTCATGTGCTCCTGAAAAAAACTACACTTTAAATATTGTATTCTAACCTTTTTGGGTTTTCCTACAGTTCATTAATAATCCATCAATCAATAACAAATATTATTTGTAAAATTAGAAAGTTAGAATTGGCTTCTGTAGCGTCTTAATTTATTTGATATTGTTCCTATTTTCGTATCGGATTTATAAAAAAACATAATATCACTTCAGGATTCTTACTATTTATAAAAATATTTACTCATTTTCAAATTTTCTTACTTTAAATTGCATAATGTTTATTACTACTCTGCAATCTCAATATTCAGATGTACCTCTCAATTTAAATAACAATATAATCTCACCTATGTGACTTTGTTTTTATTTCTGAAAAACTTGACCAAGGAGAGATTATGATTAAGTAATTGAAGATGGACCTTTGTCTAAATGGTATTTTTACCCGATTGGTTTCGCTGTGATATAATGAGACGCCAATTACAAACACTAAATGTGTGAATTGACGACTACTTATAGAGAAAATTTTACAGTTCTTTTCTGAATTAGATTAAATTTATCTGTCTTTTATTATTTTATATTGAACTTATATAATTTAAAGGGGAATTTTAATGTGTACAGGCAAATTTCCTAATGTATTACAATCATTCAGGCTTTTTCCAGGCTGGGTCATATTGGTTTTTTTTTTAGAGTCTTCAAGTCTGCACATTTTATTATTGTTGGAAAACAAGAAACGCATTCTAAACTTGAGATTGCTTTTCCAGTTGATTTTTTTTATCTTCTACGTTTTATGATGTACAGTATCAAGTATTGATAAAAAACTTGTACTTCAAGAATTTAGTTTTTTGATACAGTTTGTATTTTTTTAAATAGCTAGAAATGTCTCTATAGATGATTGTAATGGCAGATCCCAACTTTTCGGCGTTGAAAATAAATGTGTGAATCAACACCGGATTTTTAAAACCGGAGACCGACAATAGAGCGCTGTTCTCTTGATTGACATTTTACATGAACAACATTATATCTTTTATAGGCAAAACGATCTCTGAAAATACTAGTAGTCTTTATTTGTTTCACATGAATTTATCTTTTGGGCCGACTTATTTTGGAATAATAAGAGACCGAGCGAAATTAGAAATTTCATTTCAAAGTGATAAGAAAAAGAATTTGTTTCATAAATGGGGCTGTTTTTGTTTTTAAGAGCGAGAGACAACTTTTGTAGGTATCATTTCCCAGATAAAAACAGGAGTTCTGTTTGCAGGGAAGGATTAAGTTTTAAATTTTGTTTTCACAAAAACACAATCGTACAGTTTTTTTTCATTTAAAGGATTTGGTTTCGGTATTTTTTGCAGTATTTTTAATATGATTAAACAAAAAGCATTAAATTATGAAATAATAAATTTGGTCCTTTTTAGGTTTCCATCTCACATTATGTCATCGTATTGGTTTTGTTATGAAGATTTGAGCATTAAGCGTAACTGAAGTTTTCATAACTTTCACAAACATTCATTTCAAACTTAATCAAATTAGATGTTGTATTTAAATTTTAAAAGATAGTAACCCCCAATAGAAACATAAAACCAGAAATAACATCTTGAGGCCAATATACGGTTTCTCGCGAAATCAAACTCCCCGGCAATTTAGGTCTGATCTGCATGCTACTCTACAATGTAGTAGTAAAGGAAAATAGTGTCGGAATGATATCGATCAATGTACGGAGTTTGCAACGAAATATATCAATGACTGCACCGTCCCGAGATAAGTTAAGCTGTAAATAGATGTAACAAAGATTACCAAAGATATGTTGCCGACAACCAATTCGCTGAAAGACATAAGAAACTACGATAAAACAAAGATAAGAACAATTTATTTTTTTATTACATTGTATATATACCAAGTTCAAATTTCTAATTTTGTCATTTATTATGCAGACGTTAATAAGTGCCAATTCTGAGGTACTGCTTTGATTTTTTGAGTACTTGAGGACCTGTCTAACCACCAAGTGATATAAAATGAATGGCACATTCAGACATATAATTCAGTGGTTGTCGTTTGTTGCTGTATATCATATTTGTTTTTCGTTCATTTTTTTTGTACAAAAATCGGGGCGTTATTTTTTACTTTTAAATTGTTTTACATTTGTCATTTAAGGGCCTTTTGTAGCTGACTATGCGGTAGTAATTTTGCTCCTTGTTGAAGACAGCACGGTGATCTATAGTTGTTAACTTCTATGTCATTTGGTCTCTTGTGGAGTGTTGTCTAATTAACAATCATACCACATCTTCTTATTTTTATAATAACCCAAGCTTGATGATCGTTTGATGATATTCCAGATATAAGACAGTTATATTTGCAGCTTCCCAATTCATTCAAACGCTTCTATAATAAATGCACCGTATCAAATGCATATAAAAGAACACCTACTTATAAACTGTTACGCGTCGCATACTATGTATAGAGACATGCATAATAAATATAAATTAAAAGACAAATTTAAAGAAAGGAATTCTTAAAGCTTACTTTGACAAATTTTAAACTAACTCAATTCAACAAGTTTAAATTACATGTTCTAAAATAGAGCTACAAAAAAATCAAAATTCTCTGCTCTATAGATTTTCTTTTATAAATGGAGTTTGAAATATATCCATAATAAAAGCACCGTATCAAATGCATATATATGAGAACACCTACTTATAAACTGTTATTCGTCGCATACTATGTATAGAGACATGCATGATAAATCTAAATTAAAAGACAATTTAAAAAAGGACTTCTTATGGCTTACTTTGACAAATTTTAAACTAACTTCATTTCAACAAGTTTAAATTACATGTTCTATAATAGAGATAAGAATTGTTTGTATTGTAGTAAATTTAATTCTTTGAATTTTATTCAAATACGCTATTGAACATTACTAAGCGCCAATAAATACAATGATTTTGTATTTTATAAATTAGTGCCTTCAATAAATAAAAGTCGTCATAGAACAGTCTCATTTTCATACCGGTATTCGAAATGACTCGTTTCATTGCTATTACAACAAATATGTCATAATAACATGACAGAGAGTTTTGTTTCAAATATTCTAGATAAATATACAAAAAGCAAATTTTAGACAATGTACCCTCTTTACCCTGGAAGTGGCTAATTCACATATAGTAAACCACGTTTTTCTCACAATGACGTTTTACCTCCATAAGTCTGGATATGTCATGGCTAGTCACATATATGTAAAAAATATATACAAAGAATGACCTTTACTTGTGTACAATATTTTAATGTAAATATAAAGTCCCTGATTGATTCAAATACCACAATTGGCCATAAATATAAGATTTCCATAACATATTTATAAAAGATATGTAGAACATACCCCAAATCAATATAAAATTATGAAAGAACTATGCATATCAATATAGAATGTCATTAAAAAGTAGCGTCATAAATATAAAATCTCGCAAAATTATGGCCAATATTTTTGGCAAATCCACGTATACCCATTATTGGAAAGTTACAGCCCCCCCCCCTTTTTCAAGGATATTAGGCTACGTGAAACTATACAAGACTTTAGATACACGTCTATTTTTCTGTAACATTTTACAAAAAATGTAGCCGAGAAAATAATTATAATTAGATTAGGTATACAGAGAATCACAATAACTATGGACTAGAAGTAATATATCAGTCATTTTTAAGATTACAGTTGATAATTCCAAGATTAAAGTTGGAATTTTCAAGTTTAATGTTGATAAAACAAGGACTAAACACCCAAGAAAAT